GTATATATTTGGGTGGTGCATGATTTTGAATGAGAATATGAAAAATTATATATATATATATAAATATATATTGAAACCGAAGAAAAAAAAAAGAAAAGGAAAAAATGCCAAAAAATTTAAATTGTTTTGTTGGAATGAATGATGAGATGCGAATAAAGCTTATAAATCTTGTAAAAAGATAAAAATTGTAATTGTAAAAAATAAAAAAATTAAAATTTTCTATATAAAAAACAATATATATATATATATATATCTGTATACAAAATCTATATGCGTAAAAAAAAAAATAAATCTATATGTTGTATGGTTGGTGTTTGGGATTTCATTTAAAACTCTATAGATATTATTATATTATTATAATAATAAAATATTAACTAATTGCGAGTAAATAAGAAGAAAAAAGAAAAAGAATAATAAATAATAAAAAAAAAAAGGTAATTAAAAAAAAAAAAAAAAAAAAAAAAAAAATTATATAAAAATTAAAAAAAAAAAAAAAAAAAAAATCAATAAACAATATCGTATCACAACATTTTTTTTTTTTTTAAAAAAAAAAAAACACCACCCACCAAAAAAAAAGGAAAGAAAAAGAAAAGAAATTTATAGTATATTATAATATAATGTCCGTTGTCTAAAAAAAATGATATATACAATGTATGTATATATATATGCATATATATAATATGCTCGTTACGAAATATATATATATATATATATAATACAAACAACGTCAACGAAAGACGCGTTTGAAAATAATAATAAAAAAAAAAAAATTACACCGTCTCGCAAGATATAATAATAAAATTATCTTAGTTCACGTTAATGTCTTGCCTATTGAGACATAAAAAAAATAGTATATATTAAATAATTAACAAATAAGTATTAAATAATTATTATGGTTTTTTAAAAGAAGAAATTGTTCTTGTTCATTATCGAATTATTTTTCACAACGAAATAATTTATATGAAAAATAAATAAAATAAGATAGATAATAAATAAAATAAATAATAAATAAAATAATTATAAATAAATAACGAAAGGAAGAAGGAAATGAGGAAATAAGGAAATAAATAAATGGTTGGTAATCAGTCATCAAAACGTAATTTTTTTAAACTCTTGATGAATTTCGAGAAGTTCGTGGACGTGATGTAGTTCCAGAATTAGGAATTGAAGATGAATCGGTAGTGGATGAAATTATTTGGGCTTTAGGTGTAGACATTAAGGGAAGTCTCTTACGAGGAAGTTCGACAACTAAAAATTAATAAATAAAATATTTTTAATTAATTAATTAATAAATTTATTATTATTTATTTATTATTTATTTATTATTTATTTAGATAATTAAATAATAATAAAAAAATTTTAGTAATTACCTATTCGTTTCCTACGTAAATTATCTTGACAACCTTTTTCACAATACCAAGGTTCGGTACCTTGTACTGTTTCATCATCGATACCTTCTACAAAACATTTTTGATGAAATGCTTTGGGACAACCTTCACAACGGACAAGAACATTTCCAACGAATGACTCTTGTTTTTGACAAACGGTACAAACTATATTTAAAATAAATAAATAAATGAATAAATATAAATGAATAAATATATATTATTAATAAATAAATGAATAAATATATATTATTAATAAATAAATGAATAAATATATATTATTAATAAATAAATAAATATATATGTATATATATATATTGATAATAATTATATCTTAATAAATATAAGATTAATAATTAAAAATACATACACAGCTGTAAAACCGGACGTTCACGTTCTTCGACAGTTTCATTTACGAAACCGGTCAAATCCAATCGGGGAAGTTTGCATGCGAATCCATAACCTTTATAATCACAACCGTGTTTACTATTATTTTAAATAAAATTTAATAATTAATAATTATTTTAAATTTTAATAATAATAATAATAATAATATTATAATAATAATAATAATAATAATAATAATAATAATAATAATAATAATAATAATAATTGATAAACTTACTTGCATAAAGTTCGCTTTCCCCATGGACCAGGTCTCCAGTTAACACCCTCAGTGGTTCCACAGTATCTGCACCAATCAATTCCTGATTTTGTTAAATTTTCAAAAACAGTAGGAGTTTGAGTTGGACGTGGTAAGGTGACTTCTAATTCTTCGGTTTCTTGAAGTTCATCTATTATCATCATCATTGTAGATGAAGTTGAAGCCGGACTTGATATAGCATTAGGTGTAGAAACTTTACTACCATTACTAACGATTGTTGGATTAATAATATTATTATTGGTAGTAATGGTTCTTTTTGATGATCTATTAAATTATTAAAAAATAAAATTAAATATATAAATAAATAAATAATGGGAATAAATACAAATGTCAAATATATAAATAAAGATATATACCGTTTAATAGAAGATTTTCCCTTTTTGGTTTTTTGTGAAGTAGATTTAGCTTTCGTTAAACCTTTTCCTAAAATGACTGATTTTGTAGAAGAACTACTCTTTGATGATTTATTATTATTATTGTTGTTGTTGTTGTTGTTGTTATTATTATTATTATTGATATTATTAACATTATTGTTATTAAGAGATTTAATTTGTTTTGTTGACGAACGTGATTTCTTATTACTACTCATAGATGGACGATATTCTTCATCGTCATCATCATCATCATCATCTTCGTCATCATCATTTTCCTCATCATCATCGGTGGTATAAATAGCATCACTACTATCATTATATTCATCAGTAACTGAATCATTTTCTTCATGAATTCCATCATTAAAGTTATCAATCATATTTTCATCACCATCATCATCATTATTATTATAATTATAATTATTATCATTATTATTGTTATCATTATCATTGTTATTTTTATAATCATTAAATTCAGTCTTTATTTTATTATTATTATTATTATTATCATCAAGTCTTAATGGATCAATTTTTTTAATGATTACTTTAACACCATTTTGTTCATCAATACGAATCTTTTTATCAGCTTGTTTCAAGGTTAAATCGGTGACATCGGAAATTTCGTCATCGTCAGAAGAGGAAGAAGAAGTATAAGATAATCTACGTTTAAGGTTATTATCACTAACAAGTTCTGGAGTAGGTGGAGGTGGACTAATTAAATTATCACCATTATTACCAAATTCGAAATAATTTGGTCTGGTAATAACTCGAGGAAGGTTATTACGACCATTATTATTGTTGTTGTTGTTGTTGTTGTTTTTGCTGTTAATATTATTACTATAATTATTACTATTATTATTATTATTATTGATGTTACTATTATGATTATTTTGAGTAAAGGAAGAAGAATCAATAGAAGTAATAACTCTAGGATCAATTGTATTAGCCATAATAGGAGTAGTTGTACCACTTGTATAATCCATATTCTCAGTAATAGTATTATTATTATTATTATTATTATTGTTGTTAGATAAAATTAATGAAGGATCAATTGTATTTGTTATATTTGTTATATTCGTTATATTCGTTATAGATTGTGATTCAAGAGGTGATGATGATCGTTGAAAAATTGGAGTTGAAGGACCTGATAAAACATTTTGCTGAATAACTTGTTGTGTTGATTGTTGTGATTGTTGCGATGAAGTTGTAGATGATGATGATGATGGAGTACTTGGTTGAGAGGAAGAAGAGGAAGAAGGTAATGATGAAGATGAATTTAATTCATTACTAAAAGAAGGTTGATCTCTTAATTCATTAACAAATTCATCTTCATAAAATAACCTCCAAATATCGTCACCACCATCTATAATTCCGGCAGGAGACGAAGGCGAATTATATGGAGTTAATATATCAGTATCAGAAGATGCGTCACTATCAAATTGAAGTGATAATTCAATTGAATCATCATCATCAATCATTGGATCTGAGAAAAAGACATCATTTAATAAACTACTGGAATGACTATAATCTAATAAATTTCCCAAATTTCCCAAATTTTCTAAATTTCCTGTGGTTGTAAAATTAATACAAGGTATTTGATCAAAATTAAAGTAATCTGTTGTATTATTATTATTATTATTTTGATTATTTTGATTATTATTATTATTATTATTATTATTAGTGATATTATCATTATTATTATTATTATTATTATTATTATTATTACAATTATTATTATTAATAGTTGAAGTGGGATTTATAAAATCAGCTGCAGAAATTGTTAAAGTATGATGAGATATATTTTGCATACTTTGAGTTGGTACCACATGAGAAGTAGAAATTGAATGATTAATTTGTTGTTGTTGTTGTTGTTGTGAAATATGAAGATGAGACATTGATGATGATTGTTGTTGTTGTTGTTGTTGTTGTGAAATATTCATTGTTTGAGTATTCACATGAGGAATGGCAACAGTTGTTGTTGTATTTCTACCATGATTATTATTATTATTATTATTATTATTACCAAGATTTTTCATATTCAAATATTTTTCTTTACATTGTTTACATATAATTTGTAAAATATATGATTCGTTATTCATTGAAGTATTACCAGTATGACTAACATAATTAAGACAAGTATCACATAATAAATTAGTTAATATTGGATCCATTTGAGGAGATCTAAGATGATTATTACTATTATTATTATTATTATTATTATTATTATAATGATTATAATGTTGTTGTTGTTGAGTGTGATGATTATTGTAATGATTATGCTGTTGTGATTGAGTGAAATAATTTTGATAAGGATGAATTCGACCAAAATAATTTTGATAATTTCCATAATCCATTTGATGATGATTATAATGATACATCATTGTTCCCATCATTTCTTTTGAGGGTGAAATATTTGATGTAATATCTCCATAACCCTGTGTTGGGACAATGATTTGAGGTTGGGGAACTTGTGAATAAGTCCGATTATTATTATTATTATTATTATTATTATTATTATTACTATTATTATTATTATTACTATTATTATTATTATTACTAGTATTATTATTCTGAATTGATGATGATTGTTGCTGTTTCGATGATGGCAAAATTTGACGTGGTTGTTGG